ACTTGCTGAAAAAGTTAATGCTGGTTCTGATAGAAAGGTGTCAGAACACAAAATGCATCACTTCAGTCACATCAATGTTATGGCTGATTGGTGTATATTAACACATAATCTACACACATTATTTTATCAGTTCATACAACAAAAAAGTGTTGTACTTCTTAAGCATGTATTGTACTTGTTTTGATAATTCAGGTAGTCAGTTTCTCAGTGGAATCAGACACCTTTCTCCTTCTCCTCCCACACACACACACACACACACACACACACACACACAGTTCCTACTCTGCCTCCACAGTCACCCTGTGACTCAGTCATCTCAGTAAATCCAGTCTGTCCAATCGATTAGCCACCCCTCTCTAAGCGCCTTCCTAATGTTGGAGCTCCGAGAGGCCGCTGTGCTTCCCACCTGTTCCGTACAGATAGGCTGCCATGACGCTTGTTACAACAAATTTAGAGACGTCCACTGAAAAGCGGCATGTGATAATGTGAGAAAGTTTTAATGTATTCATGTTGATGACTTTCTTTTGCGCTCCCATTGGTGAGTTTTCGTAGGTCTGATGGGGAACAGTTCATGATAGAAGACTGAGACCAGCATCCATCTGCAAAGCCCAGACACTCTGAAACCAACTGATAAGAAGGGGGAAGTCACTGAGCTACCACAACAGCTTACTAATTGAGGTCTGCGTCTCCTCCTCAGCTTTTCTCCCAATTGTGACGAGCATCCCTTTTGTTTTTACATAGTTTGAGGGGCTGGATGCTGTTGCGATTATGCCTCTGTTGTTAGAAAGTTGTCACACTTTAAGCATGACTTTCCTTATCCTAGACGTATGCTTTCTTTTGAATACAAATGACGCCATGAGATTTGAGGAAGAAAACAGAGCATTTCTCTCACTTAGAAGATAAAGAAAATAATTTGTATAATTCAGTCTCACTTGTTGGTGATAATGGCATCTAAGTAACCACGTTCATGCATAAAGCGCTACATAATTAAGTAATGGACACATGTTTTTTTGTGTAAGAGTTGTTAGTTCAGAACCTTGCCAAACTGTCAGCTAGCATAACAGATGAGAAACATCTTTGTTAACAGAGAGAAAGACCCATTAGCCTTGTATCAAACTCTGACATCTTGGCCACTAGATCGTCCGGGCATAAAGCTAATATGCATTACACGAGAGTCTGTCAGGGATCCATGAAGTGAATTAGTCCTAACAGGTTGGCTTGGCAGCTGCGAAAGGCCTGGCAAGATGGCCAAGAGCTGCACGTCTGATGAATCCATTTTATAGACAAAGACTAACAGTTGTTTTCAATGAAATAAACACACGCAACAGAAGATAAAGCCTTGCTGTCATGGGACTTGTTTATTATTTATTCTCAGGTGGATGTAGGGAAGGACCACATGTGCCAGCTTTAACGCCTTATGTCCGCATTATTGCCGGTTGCAGTAAGACTCAGTCACAGCTCAAATAGAAATGGAAACACCGGAAATGTTTCAAAGCCAAAGTGTCACATTTCTGATGTAGTTAAGAGTTGTTTTGGTAACACATTTGGCAACTTTTTTTGTGTTTCACAAGCATATTAGGATTTGCAGCTCATTTACCAATGATTAAAGGTTCTTTGTGGCTGTAGAGAGCAGAATGTTTAATCGCCTTTAAATTTCTCTGTCACATATCACATAATTGAAATGTCAAAAAACAAATCAAAACATGGAAAATGTCTTCCATATTAACAGGTAGTATTTATGAGCTGCAATCAAATATTTCATACTAATCTGACGACAGAAAAGTGTATAAATGAGAAGAACTAAATCATAAATTTGGCTGTATTAAAACACAGTATAGACAGCTGAGCTAATCGTACAGCAAGGAACAGTATATACATATAGTATATACTGTGTAATACACACATAGTCTCGCATTAAGAACACACTGCTCTCTTTGGTGAAGACTAAAAGTTTAAGGGGGATGTTTTCACTCCAGTCAGTAATGCTTGGGAACATTCATGGTCGGAAAGTCCAAAAGCATCTGACAAATGACCCTGAGGAGCTGAACCGCACTTACAGAAATTGACTTTAATGGAAATCAGTAACACTGAGCTTGTCGTTGGAGAAGCTGGCTTATGACTGGCAAGTGGATTGATCAACCCCCAAACAATGTTGGCAAAAACGAGGCAAACAGCTTTTTCTCTATTTTCTTTAGAGACATTGTATCATCTGAAAATCCTAAAAATGTTATGATTTGTATATCGCATAAATGTATTTACTGTAAGGGATAACACTCAATGTATAATTAATTATTACAAAATGTAATCCAATCATAATTAAAACAATGAATATCCATAATAACACCTTCAAAGTCATTGCAATTAGTGGCTTTAGAGTTGTTTTAAAAACTTGCTTTTTTATTAAAAATATATTTCTTACTGGAGGGCTTTGCTGCGTAATTACACTTTAGGCATTCACATGATATCCTCACCCAAAATTAAGTGACAAATAACAAAGCAGAGATTAAATATTTTGGACAGTAGTCATAGAAGGTGATCTCGCTTTCCAGCTGCTTTTGTTTTCTGTTATTCTTTTTTCACTGTACTGCACCTTGTTGACTTTTTTTTGAATAGGCTGTAAGAATCTTAACATATAAATATTTTATGTAAAATAAAGAAAAGAAATAAAGAAAGAGTAAAGAAGCCCAACGATGGCCTTACCACATTTTCTTAAACACTAAATGCTGACTTTAAAAGCCAGCAGATTGGTGGTCTTTGGAGTGTAAATTAAATTTCTCTGCTGTATTTTAAAAAAAGGTGCAGTGTAGACCCAGCACTCTGTTTTGAAATGCCAAGAGGATTAATGGCACTGATAAGTAGGGTTGGTGTATTAAGCTAAGTCCTTTGAGTGTTGCCATTTCTATTTCCGCTATAATTTGTGGAACATGGATTTAAAGTATTACAAAGACCAAAAGAGAAAAGGCAGAAGAAAGAGAAAGGGAAAGAGGAGGGACTGTGTCTTATAAGGGAAACAGTGCAAAGGTTCAGATATATGCCTCTCTGGGCTCGCTGAGCTCGAATGCTGCAGTGAAACAGACGGAGAACAAACGTGAACACAGGCAGACATTCACACACGCACACTGTGACTTTTTCTGCATGACTGGAGGTACATATCGCAAGCTGCAGCGGGGGCAGAGGGCAGATGGTGCCTTTGAGGTGGGAGGTTGAAATGTAGAAAGGTAGACGAGGTGTGTGTGTGTGTGTGTGAAGTGTGATGGTGTTGTTGACACAAGGCTCTGGCTGAGGTGTTTGGAGAACAGCAGCTTTGAAGGTGAAATACAGTGGAAGAAAAACAACCCTGCTCTTTTTGACAATTTTATCTGAAGTTGGGCATTTATA